TTATTATATATAATTTAACAGTGTTAACGGCTATCTTGATTTATATAATACGCAAATATTTGTTTCTAGCCGTACTTATTGTGTAATGGAGTGTATCTGGTGATATTTGAATCTGTTCAACCATGAAACCTCCGTGGTCTAATGGTTATGACGCTCGCCTTGACAGCAAGAGGTCGCAGGTTCGAGTCTCGCCAGAGGCATTTTATTACACAATTTCTTTATTCATTTATTTACAGGACTACATTCGTTGAGAGCTATACTACACGATGTATTATTATGTCCTTTATTCGAACACTGTATTTATCTTTCTTTGATGTATATATATTATATATATATATATATATATATATACATCTAGATGTGTATAAGAGACAGGTATATATCCATGGCGTAGCGGAGGGGTATTCAGTGATTTGTCTAATACATTTAGGCTAGGCAATCTAGCTTAAAAAAGAGCCAAAAGTCAAACAACGTTTTTTCTTTTTTAATCAAGTACATATGATGAGGAGATGAAATTCCACAAATCACACCTTGGTCCCAAATCACACCTTTTAATCACCGAATTTAAATATATCTATGTGACTACTTTCAGTAGAATCTTGATTTAGATCTTAAATTATTTAAATACATGCTCTTTTGCAATATTGATAGAAGGGATGGAATCTAATATCATACCATGTTCACATGTATTGTTCATATGCAAATTAGCTATAAAATATGCAAATTAGGAATAACAAAATATAAGGTTCCTATATCTCGATAATGGCTGGTCACAGAGAGTTGCTTTCTTTTTCAAATTGTACAGAATACTTGTTTTTATTGGCTCTAGTGGAACACCTGTCACCAAAAAGGTCGGAAATGATACAATTGACCTTTGACCTTATATTTACTGATTGCGTCTCTGCGACTATTCATATGCAAATTTGCTCTAAAATATGCAAATTAAAAATGAAAATATAAAGTCATATATCCTAACAATTTGTTTTTGGAAATATTAATATTTAAGTTTGCCTTATCGAACATTTGCCGCAAAAAGACTTGCTACAATTGAGCTTTAACCTTATATTATTGGTCATTATCCTGGTCATATAACATTTTTATGTCATGATATAATCATTGATGATGAACCTAATAACATTTTTCTGAAGCTATTGGGGTAAGATGTTGAGTTGGGGCTAAAATTGGGATACCCTAAATTATATATTTTGCCGCCTTCTTATAACACATTAAGAAACTATTATGATAGCACTCTAAAACTAAATTTGAAAAGATAATTTAATTAACACAAGTTTTCGCAGGTAGTCAATGCCAGAGCTTCACCAGGTGTTTAAAATGCGTTCTTTACAAGCAAGCCTTTTTGAATTACATCAATTAGGGCCTACCTTCAAATTAAAATACTGTATATTTATCATTAAATATAATTATAAATCATTGTTTCATATTGAGCCATATATTTACACTTGTGATATTTGTTCCATATAGGACCAAAGGATGCTACATAAATATAAATTTAAATCGTCTATCGTAGATTATATGATTCAACAGATTTTTAAACTTCACCATAAAAGATGATCCCAATGATCGGTAGTTATGGGCAACATGGGTCATAATATGTTTGAGTTCTGATCATTTTTTGTCATAACTTCTCTAGATTAGAAATATATTATATAAAATTAGGTATACTTTCTAAATAATTTGAGACCAATGTCAAGTCTCTCGACCAGTAGTGATGGAGTTACACAAAAACATAGAGCGGGAAGGTGGTAATAAACGAGGGCATTAGTGACTAAAGTTGTATTACAGAGAACATCAAATAATATTATTTGATATTTATTTTGAGGATAATAAATATATTCCCAAATGATCAAATATTCCATTTCTGCATGCTCTGAACAATAGCAAAAAAAGGAAAGCAACTATTTCTGCTTCTAATTTGCATTGCATAAATTTGTTATGATCTTGTGTTATATTTTTGTACGAATTGAAAAGGAATTAAATAAATGTTACTTTGAATTGAATTGAATTGAATATTTAGGTAAACTGCATATAGAGAATGCAAGTGGCCAGGGTGTGATTTCTAGAATGTAATCACATATACTGTACAGTGAATCAAAACCTGAATTATACCTGTGCATACATATACAGTACTGAAGCAAATAGAAACTGCAACCTCTAAAAGTGTGAAAAAAGAAAGCAACTACTTGACACCAGCAGTTTTCAAGATATGAGAACCCTATATTTTCAACCATAATTAGGCCGATAACGTAAATTTTATATACAGGAACGGGACATGTGACAAATATATAGTTTAAGATCCCCTTTAATAAAATAAAAAAGAACTATGAATTTGAACAATGGTTCTACAGACATTAGTGTCAGAGATATACAGTATGCAAATTCTGTGAATATCTATAGGGTCAAGGGTCAATGTTAGCATGTTCGTTATTGTGGGGAAAATGTTCCATTAGGGCAAAGCCCATGCATGTTTTGAAGAATTTAAAAAAGAAAGACACTGCATTTTAATAATTTGAGACATAAATCACGTTTCTCCTGATATTAGTCACAGAAATATGCAAATTCAGTGAATATAAGGTCAAAGGTGAGTTGTAGCATTTCCTGTCATTTTTAGGGAAAATTTTCTATTAGTGCGAATAGAAATATACATGTTCCGAATAATCTTAAAAAGAAAGTAACTTTCTGCGACCAGCGGTTGCCGAGATATGGGACCCTATATTTCATTATTAATTTGCATAATTAAGAGCTAATTTGAATATGAAGAGTATACGTGACCATGGTGTGATTATATATTTTCATCCCTTCTATGAATATAATGCAAAGAAACATGCATTTGAGTAATTTGAGTCCTAAAATAAGTTTCCATGTACATTAGCCACAGAGATATTCAAATTCAGTGAATATAAGGTCAGAGGTCAAGTATAGCGTTTCCGTTTATTTTTTCGGCAAATGTTCATTTAAAACAAATAGAAACATGGATGTTCTGATTAATTTGAAACAGAAAGCAACTCTGCGACCAGCGCTTGCCAAGATATGCGATTCGTATGTTTTCATTATTAATTTGCATAATTAAGAGTTAATTTGCATATGAAGAGTATACATCACCATGGTGTGATTTTAGAGTTTCATCCCTTCTATTAATATAATGCAAAGAAACATGCATTTGAATGATTTGAGACCCAAAATAAGTTTCTATGTACATTAGCCAGTGACAGAGATAGGCAAATTCAGTGAATATAAGGTCAGAGGTCAATTGCAGCATTTCCGTTCATTTTTGAGGCAAGTGTTTCATTAGAGCAAATAAATATATGCATATTCTGATTAATTTAAAACAGAAAGCAACTCCCTGTGACAAGCGGTTGCCAAGAACCCTATATTTTCAACCTAATTTGCATATTTTAGCTAATTTGCATATGTTCCCGAGGTGTGACCGAGGTGTGATTTCTGGAATTTCATGTGCTCATCATATGTATTGATTAGAAGAGAAAAACCTTTGTTTGCAATTTGTTTGACTTCAAATGCTAGATTGCCTAGCTTAATTCAACCTTTCAAAACTATGCTTTTATGCTCTCCTTATTTCAAGAAAGTAACGAAAACACCGACATCTAATATTATTACCCAGATTTTACGTAATAAGTGACACAATTTGCCTTCCATAGTAGAGGTATTAAAATTGCCGAATAATTAGCAGGGGTGGGCATAAAAATCGGTCGGAGGGCCAAAGTGAATTTTTGATTCAACACCGACGGCCGCACCAAAACTTTGTTGTTTGCAGTGTGCTTTCAAAAACCTCCAAGAACTGCTTTTACACCAATTTATTCTCAGTTTTATTTTACTTTTTACATATGATCGGTGTCGTTGCTCGGCCGGCCACACACATAGGGTTTTTAATTCATTTTCGAGGGCCGCAAAAAAAATCGCTGGCGGGCCGCACTTTGCCCACCTGTGAATTAGATAATTACCTCGTTTTGTCTAAGCAAGAGCGACCGCTCACGAGGTCCGCGCGTTTCTCCATTCTACGGTACAGGCGCAAGTTATTATATTGTGTTTTTTGAAAGAGCTAATAACATAGAACTTTTTAAATAATTAGAATGATCATTTGTACAAAGTTGAAATAAATAAATAAATTGGGAAAAAATGAATACCAAGACTCGTTTCGAATTCACGACCTTAAGTACTTTAGAACCGACCGCGCCATTCATGCGACCTGCCCTATAATTGGTAATGGCAAAAATTTACAGTAATTTTTAAATAATTAGAATATTTATTTGTACAAGAAAAAAAAACACTATTTACAATGATCCTTTGTACACAAATTAAAATACTTAAAATTTTTTTTTTTTAAATCTTAAAAAATTGGGAACAAAAATTGAATACCAAGATGCGTTTTAGTAACCTTCGGTTAAGGATGTGTTCTAAAGAACTCAAGACCTTAAGTTCGCGAGAACTGTTTGACAAAATGAAAAACATAATAAATAAATACACGATTCCAACTTGCTAAATACACGATTCGAACTCATGACCTTAAGATCTTTAGAACACATCCTTAAACGACCGCGCAATCCATGCGACTTGCACTATTAGTGGTAAATGGCAGTGATGTACAGTCTTTGCTGAAACCTCTGTTTTGTGTTTTAGGTCAAGGGGAACCCTGGGGTCCAACTTAAAAGAAGGGCGATGAAATTTTGTTGAAAGTTACCTCTAGTTTATGTGTACAAAATGCCATGCACGTCTGTTCAAAACTGCCCGATCGTATAGCAAACATGTTTCGAGAAAACGATTCTCATCATCGCGAATGATAACAAATTTTGCCAAAGCTTATATGGCTTTATACACATATATGTAAATAAGCAAATTAGAAAAGCGACTAATGAAGCAAACCACAAAACGTAGATACCACCCGTAACTGTGGATTGTTATGTAAATTAGTACATAAGAATCAAACCGCGAGCGTGATATTCAAGTTGTAAATTCGCTTATTAAGGGATGGATTGTTCCAGGTAATATGCAAAGCTTCCTTAACTTTGAGTTATAAGCTGAATCTGCAGAGTCAAGAACGGTGAAACATCTCTCATTAGCAAGATCCCGACAGTGTTCTGAAGCCTGCAAATGTTGAAAAATATGAGAATTCCCGTCCCTGAAGTGTTCTTGCACTCGTGTTGAAAGTCTTCTATTGGTTTCTCCAATATACATGGATTTACATCCCGGACGTAATGTTGTGATTGTATCGCCTAAATTAAAACCATCTAAGATGGCTTGTCTACAGTTCTCATACATAATAAAAGAAGACTTCGGTTTGACGATCTACTTAGATTATACATCAAGACGTGTGACGTCACTTTGGATACAAATGGCTCCTTTGTGGACACGATATTCAAAAGAAATTAAACTGGATACTGAAAATGAGTTTTCAGTGAGTATATATGTATATTTCACACAGGCCTATAAATCTCATAAGTGGACGAAAACAGTAAATATCAAATGGTAAAATTTAATTAAAATACAGTGTCGAAGCTGTCTCTTATACACATCTAGATGTGTATAAGAGACAGGATATACACAGAACACAGGATACGGCCTTAACTGGATCCGAATCAATGGATCAACCCCATCGTTTGACACTGGCCCAGAAAATGACCATACATTTAGTACAGTAGACGGTGAGTATGGTAATTTTAGAACGAAGGCGCAAAACCTTTGAAATATTTTTTAATGGGGACAAGGATTCGTAAAATATAAATAAACTCAAATATATAGAATTACAAGAGGTTTGACTGCCCTCAATAAAACGTTAAAAAAAATACTACCACGAGATAGAATTCGCTCTAAACCCTTCGTAATAGCAAAGATACTAGAAATACAAGATAGAGTTTTCGCATTGTAAAAATGAGGCGGAAGTCGTGCCCAACGTAGGCGGCGCCCTTCTTTTTAACTATGCAAGTTTCCTATACTTCGTGCCCAACGTACAGGGCGCCCTTCTGTTGCTAAGTATATCCAGACGCAAAAGGCGCCCTTCCTTTTCCACTAATGGAGGAAAACTTCTTCACTAATAGTGCGTCCGGCCATGCGATTCAGCGCTGTATTGTTTTATTCTTTACTGATTCATGATTATGCTTTAATTGTTTTGTGTATTATTTGGATAATAGCAACGATTTCTACCGCCACCAAGGAGGTTATGTATTCACCGATGTCACTGTCTGGGTGTCTATTCCAGTTTGTTTTTATATCTAGTATCTTTTTTGAGAATTGATAATAAAATACGCGACGACTTGGTAACGAAAGTTTTGCACAAGTTTTTTTAGATCCAGCTGTAGGGGGCGTCCCATTTTTTGTATTCCCACCATGCATTTCGGTGGAACACGGTGGAACACTTTTTTTTGTGGAGAACTCTATCTTGTGTTTCTAGTATCTTTGGTAATAGTACTTTTTGAAATAGAATTACTTTCCAACGAAACCACGAGAATCGGACCTCTTGTTTTTCTATACTCTTTGATAAACCATATGGAGACCCCAGAGAAGAGTTGAATAAAATTAAATATAATTTTGGCCCTATTTCTGGACCTCCTCGGATTCGTTAAGATTGATTGACACTAAAGTAAAATACTCAAACTGTTTGGGCACACTAAACGAATGGATTGCGGTGCCAGCAAGATCTGTTTGGAAGGCAAGATTAATGGAAAGAGAAATAGGGGTGGGCAACCTAAAAAGGTTGAAAGATAACATAGCATGGACAGGCATCAATATAATTTCTCTTAACATGCTTGTCAAAGACAGAGAACTTTGGAAACAAATAACTCATGTTAGGCGGAGATAGAGATTAATGATGACACTAACTAGAAAGGTCATTTTTCAAGTGTAGCACATACATCCACATTTTACATTAACTTCTGATTGGTTAGACCATTGAGTTATTTTAGACATTATAATAATAGAATACAAATTTCTCTACCTGACAAGTGACGTACTGAGACATACGTGTTACTGAAATTTGTGTATATTTGTGTTGTTCCCCGTTAAGGTCATTATATTTACGTCGAGGCGTCTCCTCCGGCTTTCGAACGAGAACAAGCAGTAATCAATACTCCAACAGTTAGACACATAAATGGGCCTATGTGCATTACATTCTGGTACAGTATGCACGGAGAAGATGTAGGTTCACTAACTCTACGCGTTATATCTGAGCATTACAATCGTTTTATTTGGAGTCGAAATGGGAAAGCTGGAGAGGGATGGTTCCTAGCCAATGTCGATCTTGTGGATGCTGCTTTCTATGATGAGCTTTACCAGGTTTGTGATATTACGCAAAACATATTGAGATAGGCCTAACTAGAATTGGCTATTAGTTTCAAATGTTTTACCAAAATAATAAAAACAAAATAAGATGTACTTTACGATAATGATAGGGATGATAAATTATTAATGATGTTGTTGTTGGTGATAATTATTACTCTGATAATGACGATAATGATTGATGATGATGCTTTATCTGTATTCTAGTTACAATTCACAGGAAGTATTGGCCGTGGATACAGAGGAGATATAGCCATTGATGACATTAAACTTGTTCCAAACATTTGTAATCCACCCCCAAGTCCTCCTCCTGCAGTTACCCGTTCGTTTTGCTCATTTAAAAACCACCCATCCACTTGTAATTACCAAAACCAAACGGATGTACAGCCGTGGAATTACCTAGACGTTTATAGATCTACTGAAGAAGGCAGTGTGGCAGTAAAGATTTCTAAAGGTAACATAAAATCAAGCTTGATTGAAGAAGACTAATAACGGTGGTAATAAACTTGGTGGAAAAAAGCTCCCTTTACTTTTGTTTCAAAAGTTTTTTTTTCTTTAAATATAAACTTATTTTTCTTTCTTTTTAGGAGAGAACTCTTTTTTATATGCTGACGCTCTTAGTGGACGTAATGTTGTGATTGTATCGCCTAAATTAAAACCATCTAAGATGGCTTGTCTACAGTTCTCATACATAATAAAAGAAGACTTCGGTTTGACGATCTACTTAGATTATACATCAAGACGTGTGACGTCACTTTGGATACAAATGGCTCCTTTGTGGACACGATATTCAAAAGAAATTAAACTGGATACTGAAAATGAGTTTTCAGTGAGTATATATGTATATTTCACACAGGCCTATAAATCTCATAAGTGGACGAAAACAGTAAATATCAAATGGTAAAATTTAATTAAAATACAGTGTCGAAGATCCACTGGTAGCTTAACTTAACACACACTTATTCAAATCTCATTTCACCACTGATTTACTATCTACCGTATTTATTCTAATAAACCTGTCTCTTATACACATCTAGATGTGTATAAGAGACAGGTATAAAGGTCATAGTTATAATTACATATCATTCTGGTTGCTCATTTTTGAATTTTTTCAATCATGATTTTTTCTTTTATTTTATGTGGACACCAAACCTGACTGGCACAGTCAAGTTTACTCGCAACATTTGCACGATATAATACTTTTAATGTAAACTGATCGTAATTCTGAAAGTCCTATAAATAAAAGCTGACAACCTATTTCCCCACCAGCTCCACTCCCTAAACCTCATAAAGAGACTTAGTTTAAAAAGCATCGTCTATCCTGTAATTGACGAGTTACTCGCTGTTGGATATTAATGAAATAAAAAAAATAGGAGAATAATTAGATAAACATTTTCTTTAAATGATTACAGGCTAACTTTACCTTTGAGTTGACCCATGACACAATGTCGTTGTCTGTGATCGTGTTATCAGGCCCAGCAAGCTTCTGCAGCACTGATACTGTGTACGCTCGCATCAGCTGCCAAACCATCGCTGAAAACAAATATATTTACACTTATTTTAGCCATATATTACATTCACAAGACGTTTATTCGATAGCTGCACTCATTAAAATTTATTTAGCGTGTCATTCTCTTTACCTGTATTTATTCTGTGAGAATGCTGATTTTTACTAATGAAATGTATCTAGCATCCGAGTATTTTAAGGCTATTTCGATGCTTGTTCAAAATAAAATAATTGGTCCCGTTATTCAATCTTCTACGGTATTTCTCAAAATAGTTGTTAGTATGCATTTTGTCAACACGTTTTGGTATAAAAACATAAATGCTTTAAAAATATTTTCTAAATGTTTTCCTTCTATTTACTTGTGCTAGCAATTTTGTTCCTTATACAGAGCCTACAGTTATAGATAAATTAGACTGTGATTTTGAGAGAGATTGTGGCTTTTCCACCAACACTTCATTAGCTAACGTCTGGCAACTATCAAACAAGCAAACTTACAGTAGGCCTTCATCTAACTTACCAAATATCGATAATACTTACGGAACACCATCAGGTAAGCCTGGAAGTCAATATAGGGAGATTTTGCAAGCTTACAAATACGAATACGTCATCTTCAGTCATTCTTGCCTTTAAACATTCTTTAAACAACAATCCTAATATGTTGTACTATAACTGAAGTTACCATACATTTGCAATAGTCTTGGTATCTTTTTTTATTGTACACAAACGTCATCCCCGTTAAAACAAATAACATTTATGTAACTGAATTGGGACATTAATTTACAAACATGATAATATAATTTAAAATTACTGAAAAACAATCACTACAACAAAACCATATCAAACCATTGAATTTATTTCTGAAAAAAATATATTAAAATTGTTAATATAAATTTTATAATTATTATATACACTAATTCTTTACAAATTGAGATTACATTACAGATTACCAAAATAACGCTTGTAAAAAGATCAAACATCATAACATAACATAAAAAAAATCATTACTAACATTTAATATCAACAACATTTAAAAAAAAATAAAATACATTGGGAATTGTTACAAAAATAAATATTTATTCCAATTTTATTTTTTACAATTATTTAAAACTTAAACATAAAAAAATTGGCAAAGGAATAAAAATAATTATGATATCAAGTTACACTGAGGAGATGGTGGAATTACTTGTTTGTTCATTGGTTAAAGAGACAGGTTAAGTAAGGTAATGGGCTTTTGTAAAATCTTGATGCACGTTTTTTATAATAATCAAGTTTAGTGCTATTCCTTAAATGACGAGAGATATTGTCACAACGTTCCATGAACAATTTTTCCTGGAATTCCTGGTTTTTATATGCCCTGCTAGTAATCTGTTTAGCAATGGTTTTTCTACGTTCTTTGAGAGACTCAAGGCCAGGGATGCTAAGAGAGTTTTTAGGGGCGGATTTAGTGGGTAAGGGGCGGCCCCGCCCCTTCCCTCTTGCAATGTAAAATAACAGGGGAAAAAGGAAAAGAAAGAAAGAAAAAGAAAAAATTGATCTCCCAAAACGCCTCAAAGGTTATTTAAGGGCGTCTAGAAAACTAAAATATTGCTGGGGCTTGCCCTCGGACCCCCTCGGTTAGTATTATTTCGATCGGCCCCTCTTTCGGCCCCTTTCAGCTCCCCTTTCGGACATCTCTGGATCCACTCATGGTTTTCATATGAAGTATTGTTTTCCCCAAAATATACACAGGCTACTTTGAATTTTCTCAATACAATTAATTAGTGGCTTCAAGTCTTGGAAAAATGGGAATGACAGTCACATCCACACCTTGATAGTGTAAACAATTACGGAAGGCAGAACAAATACGATAATACAACGTCAACAACATAGCATAGTATGTACCATATGTGTTAGCTAAGGCAACCAAAGTTGATGTAGTACGGTACATAATTGCTTAAACAAATTTATTTATCTTTCAGGACATTACTACTACATTTCATTTCGAGCCGATCAGCCGTTAACAGATCGTAATTTCCTGCGTACACCTTCAATACAAAAAACTTCAAATAAACGCTGCCTACAGTTTTATTATTATCTCAACTCAAACGCAGCATCACATCTTAATGTTTATATTGATGACGAATCTAGGCCTCCGAAATGGTTTCCAAAGGATCCAATTTTTACGGCGATAGGCAAGCATGGAAACCGATGGACGCTCGTCAATGTAGACATTGAGCAAACTAAAGGGAATTATTCGGTATGTTTATGCCTTAGATCTTTTCTAACTAATAACATTATTATAATTATTATTATTATTATTATTATTATTATTATTATTATTATTAATATTATTATTATTATTATTATTATTATTAAGTGTAGAGATATACTGTATAACCTGGGGGAAAAATCTGGAGCAACATGCAAATATAATTTTAATTGTTGATTCATTTAAACAATCATATTAGATGAGACACAGATCCAGATTGAGTTTACAGATATTTTGCTACGAAAGTTAATTATTACAAGACAATTTGATAGGCTTCATTTAAAGGTAGAATGCGTAATATCTATCGGTGTTAGCTAAGGTATGCAAAGTTGATATAATGTATGTGTATTGTTGCTTAAATAAATATATACTTTATCTTTCAGGACATTATTACTGTATATCATTCCAAGCCGAACTTCTGCAACTTCATTGGTTGCCGCTTAGAGGCATTTTTTTTTCGCACACTTCCCATCACACAATCAATCACCAAACTTACATTTGTTTAAAATGGATTTTTATTCAAATTATTATACTTATTTCAGATTGTATATGAGCCAAGAAGCGGAGGCGGGAAGTATGCAGATATAGCAATTGATGACGTCTTGCTTTTTAAACAAAAGTGTGTTAAACGTATGTACAATGAGTTTATTCAGCGCCATTTTTGTATCTATTTTGTTTCTACAAATATCTGTACATACACTATCCAATAAATCTGATTTGTATTACATTATCTATTTATGTCTTTATTATATATTGGTGTTGTCTATGAATTTCAGTGGCTGAGAAAAAATGGACTTCAACTATTGATTGCGACTTTGAAACTGAGAGTATCTGCGGGTATAAAAATATTCGCAGGCGCAGCTCGAATTTTGATTGGACTAGAAATGGAGGTTCAACAAAAACACTAAATACCGGACCAAGCCATGACCACACTTATGCATTAAGTGACGTCAAAGAAGGTATTTCTTACTGAATTTACTAAAGCAATTAAAATCCACATTTATAATATATGTAGTACCATATTTCTTCAACCATTCATAATTCACACTTATTAATTTTACGCCCTTTCATAAAAAAAAATACAAGCAAAAAAACAAATTTATTGTATGGTCACATTACCATGCAAATCGTTGTTGTTGGAATTGTTGGAGACGCGTGTGGTACAGTTTGTTTATGATTTGTTATTCCTTTATTGAACATTTATTCTAATAAAAGGTAAGCAAAAAAGCAATGGATCCACTAATGGGTTTGACAGTACTAGAAAACACAGAGAATGTGTCTATAGGCCTGAGTCATCGTGATTCAATAGGTAGGCGAATGGATAATGGAATTAAACGTGATTTAACGCGTCAAGAAAAAGAAATTACAAAACTAATTATCAATACATTAATAGTCTAATGAATGGATGTGGTTGAGTGATGAAGCGCAGATATCGAAGAGTAATGACAGAATTCTATTCAAAAGCTGGTAATAATATATCTCACTTTGACCTGATTTTTAACCTACTTGGTAGAATGTGTAACTTAACTTTGAGTATTGGCATCTATGCTGAATACTGTAAAGAGACTTGGAATAAATGCTAGCGCCTTAGTTCAAACCCCTTGTTATTGGATTAGTTGAACCTATTTTTAGAACCATCACCGGCTGTACATATAACTGCTATGTAGGACTATGATTCTATAGCCTTAAATGGTAATAATGCACACAACAATTATAGATCATGACAATACAATGTATTAATTTATTTACCAGGAAACTATATGTACATAGAAACGTCTCCTCCGCGTTTACCTTTGGATGCAGCTGTACTATCTAGCCCTCTCCTGCCATCGTCTACTGAGTCCACGTGTCTGCATTTCTGGTATCACATGAATGGGGGGACAGTCGGTCGTTTGGAAGTATACAGAATGATACCAGCTATACAAGAGTATAAACTGCTGTGGTCAAAAGAAGGGGAACAAGGTGATAATTGGAGAAAGGCTATTGTACCACTGAACGTGAAGCGATATTTATGGGACGGATCCAAGGAGATACTTGATCACTCAATGAAGGTGAGCCGACATCGTAATAGGCCTTTCCGGAGTGTCAATCAAACTTAACAACTGATCAATCAGATCAGCGCTAAGAATACGCGCGCGTCTCACAAATACACGTGCACAGGGTGTCTATAAAACGAAGACAGAAGACCCAAAAACGAAGACCCCTATTTTTTCTCTTTCATTTTGATGATAATACGCCAGGCTGTCACAAAATTAACAATACGAAATTTTTTGGGCGTCTGTTTCTGAAATTTTCAAGGGTCTTCGTTTTATAGACACCCTATATGGGTGTCTACAAAACCCACATTTTTTTTTCTTTCAATCGTGATAAAATAATAAAATATGTACGTGGCAACTGTTTTATGATGATTTTGAAATACTTTCAATAATTGGAGGTCTTCGTTTTTCGGATCTTTGGTCTTCGTTTTGTAGACACCCATATAGGGTGACTATAAAACGAAGACCCTTAATTATCTCGTCCTTCCTATATGTTGGTGTCACTACCAAATGACCGATGCTGCACATATGCGTCACTATACCACATTCCTACTGTTTATTTTAACATGGAACAAGGTTATGAATGAAATATTCAAGGTTTTTGTGGGCCCCCAAAATAAGCGTACCGCTAGGCCAGGCCTTACTTTCGTTTACACTAGGGTAGCAGCGCCAAGACGCGCTCAGCCACCAGTAGACGTACAACGTTGGTTGCCGCTTTGGAACTGGAATAAAGGGTAAATCATTCAATTGACTCAGATTCAGGCAACAATGTGCTAAGAAGACCAATACTATATATACATAGCATGAAGTGATTTAAAAACAATATTTTCATCACGATTGAAAAAAAAATGTGGGTCTTCGTTTTTCTGGTCTTCGGTCTTCGTTTTGTAGACACCCATATAGGATGTCTATAAAAAATCTAGTGAAAATTTCACAAACAGACGCCCAAAAAATTTTGTAATTTGGATTTTATGTGAACGGTCCTATTCTTTACTACTGAACCCATTTTCACGATTTTTTCTGCGGACTCCGGACCGGAATCCGGGTTTGATGTGAACGTAGCTTTAAGCTGGTTTTCCACTAGGCCAATTTATTGGCGCGAATCAAAGCATCGGTTCGCTTCCTGAGCTCTGATTGGTTGCGAATTTTTTCGTTTCGAAAAATCCGATATAAATGTTAATGCGCATGCGTATGGGCTAAAATTTTCGATTCGCGCAAATAAATTCGCCTAGTGGAAAAACCTGGTTTTCCACTGGGCGAATTTATTTGCGCGAATCAAAAATTTTAGCCTATACGCATGCGCAGATAAGTTTTCCTTACGAGATTTTCAAATGCGCAGGCGTATAGGTACAAATTTGCGATTCGTGCAAATAAATTCGCCTAGTGGAAAACCGGCTTTAAGTGCTGAGTTTTGTCGTCATTCGCATTCTGTTATTTTAGAATAATCTACAGGTATTCTTCTTTTCCTTCTAGCTAAACAATATGAAACAATACAATTGTAATACATTTTATAAAACAGTGCAAAAAAATATTTTAATGTTAATACAGGTGCATTTTAGAGGGGTAGTTGGCTACGGATACGAAGGCGATATCGCTATCGATGACGTAAAAGTTGTTGTCATGTCATGTGACCCACCTCCAGAGAGTCCTCCTGTTAACGAAACAGATTGTGATTTTGAAAATGGCATTCACAAATGTGGATTTGAAGATAACGCTGGGGATGATGGAAGTGGTGGTGGCGGCGACGAAGCTACTCCGTTAGACTGGAACTTCTTCAATGCATCGTCTATCGCCGATAGTCAAGATACAATGTCAAACGATACCAAGAGCATACTAGCTCAGAGTACGAAAAATACATTCTTTTTAATATTAGTAGTGTAGTCCAGTGTGAAGTAGATTTTCTTAGTTAGGTCTGACATTGAGAGCGACGGCAATTAAAGAATACAGAGGAATTTGGCCACTAATATCAGGTTTGTGGTAGCCGGGTGAACATAATAGAGCCATCGCCCACTAAAAGAGAGTGAATCCCAGTAGAAGTAACCTAATACGTAGGACAGACGATTCCCCAAATCATTTCAATACAGGGGCGGATGGGTTCAAATTTAAAGGGGGGAGGGGGTGTTAAAATATTTTCATAAAAGCCCCAAAAAAGGGCCCTCACCAGGAAAATTTGTATTCATAGCGGGAAATGAGCTTTCCCGACTTCAAATGTGTCTTTTAATGACTTTTAAGTTCTTCAAAATTGAAGGTTTTCCCCTCTTTCTCATTCTTATTACAGAAAATAGGCCTATTATGTGTGTATATATACAGAAAAAATGAGTAGTTGCATACGTACGCCTATTATTTTTTACATGAATCGATGAACCCCAAAAGAAGGGTGGTCGGGGGTCTTCCCCGAAAACATTTTAATTCCTAAATGGTGGGAAATGAGCTTTCCCAGACTTCCTCATTGTAACAACAGACATTTCAGCTCACGATCCTGAAAAGGTAGGTCTAGAATTTTGTTTGCTTGGCAGCCCAAAGGGAGCCGGGGACCCCTCGAATTATTCTTTAATTACCGTATTCATATTTTCAGATCAAAGCTCCTACATCTTTGCGGAAGCTGCTAACTTGAAAACTGGTCAGCGCATCGTCGTTACCTCACCGGATATTGCTGCTCAGTCGGACCATTGTCTACACTTTTCGTACGTAAACACTGGCGATTTCATTATTGATATCTACAGCAGGTCATCATCGACATCCATAGAAACGATCTACCAGCTACCCAGAGAACATCAGGCAACATGGCGAAAAAAGGCAATCAACATGTCCCCTCACGCAGACACTTTCAAAGTAATATTTTGTTTTGGTTAAAACAATTTGTTTATGTTTTTCGTTGAATGTTTCCATTTACAAAATCTTCTTGTAATTAGGCCTATCCCTTAGATAGTAAAAAGCACAGATAATAAATTCATCCTCACCTTTATTCGTCGTTTTTACTCCTCCTGTATTAATTGTATAAGTATAGTGATGATGATGATGATGATGATGATGATGATTATGATGATGATAATGATGGTGACGATGATGAGGAGGAGGAAGATAACAGTAATAATAATTATACTAATATTGATGATGATAGTTATATTGATCACATACTAACTGCAAAAACAAATTACATTTTTTGTTTAAATAGGACAACTTTTCCGATTACGTTTACGTAGGTAGGCCTACATGCTGCGAAGGACCTAATGGTCCTTAACCGCAGGGTAACAAGGGCTGTATAAACCAGTACACCGGGGTAACTCCCTACTTACTGCTGTATCTAGCAAGGTTGCGGCGCCCCTAACCACTCGGTTTTTTAACTAGCAATCGGATGATGATCAATTTGACTTGCAATCGGATGATGATCAACCCACATGCAATTATTTAAGAACAATTTAAATTCAAAATAAAAAAATAGTTTTAATAGTAAAAATATGTCTAAGTATTACTATGACGTTGCGTCCTAAATTCAACCACTTGTTTATTGATTTACATTTGCAAATGTCATTTCATTAGATAATATGGATTACAATAGAGTATCACTACAATTATGGGTCATTGAATTATTGTGTGACTTCTTGTATAGGTGATATTTGAAGGTGTGGTTGGCCGGGAAAAGACGGGCTTTATGGCGCTGGATGATATTAAAGTGGAGAAAGGAAAGTGTCCCACAGGTACGTATCGGTATAAGGTCTATTTTCCGAAATGCAGTACAGCGCCCTCTGTTACTTCTACAGTATGGATCTCTTCCCCATCTTGTCTGGTTACATTTGTGACGTCAGAAACGTACGAAATTAATTCAGTCTTTATTGGCGTGTGGAAAAGTGGTTATAAAGTTTAGCCTACAGTATGCGAAAAGCCTTGGGTTGCCATCGTATCAATTTGTATATGTATTTAATATATATATATATATATA